AATCTTAATATAAGTATTTCAAAATATTAAACGTGTACCGACTTGTGTACCTAATAAAGTAAAGTTTTATACTAAATACAACTTTTATTTTTTTATCAAAAATTTTTTAACATAAATTAAATCAAATGATATTTTATAAATATTATAATAGTTATGGCAGTTATTTACATTACAAAATGTCTTTTAGCAAATTAATATTAATTAATTAGTTGCAATAAAAGTTAGGAGTGTAAACTATAAATTTACAGATGGGGAAGTTTTGAATTACTTAGAAACGATATTAATTATGATAACAACTGGAAGAACTTGTTTTGAATATAAACTATTTATATTATTTAAACTATTAACTTAGAAAGCGACGTTTTTGAAATATAAAATATTACGTGATATTATATACAAAAATTTGAAGCAAAATTAGTAAAAATAATAATTACACAATAAATAAATGTTGACCAATAAACAAATAAAAAAGAATCACAAAAGCGAATACTTTAATTTCAACACGATTGCAACAAAATATATAATTAATGTTAAAGCAAAAATTGCAAAATCATCGTGATATTATCACAAATTTTATAAATTTAAAATAATTTCTATAAATTTACTTACTGGTGCTGAAACTGGTGCATATCCCGGGGTAGAGGGTGCTTGGTCCTTAGGTGGTGCCATACCTCCATTAAGTGGATGAGACGAGTGGGCAGCCAGAGCTGCGGAGATAGCGCTCACCGGAATTTTTCCGCCGCTGGAATAATAATTTTTATAAATTAAAATCAATATTAATATTATATTATATTCTCTAAGTTGTTTTAAGATATAATATAAATTTTATACTTACGGTGGCACGGTGAATGGAATGCATCCTTCGGTACCAGCTGGTGGATTTTGGCGAGCAACGAGCTTGGCGTGAATATCGCAATATAATTTATTATGAATGGTGTAATATCCCTGGTTCTTCAAATTCGTACCACAAGTTGCACATTTAAAACATTCAACATGTAAGTTCTTGTCCTTTATGCGCACGAACACACCCCTAGAGTAATGAAAATTTTCATTAATATAAATATTGGAGAAACGGTAAAAAATAATAATATATGGTATAATCAGACATCTATCGTACGCAAGCTTTCTCATAATTCATGCCATAGTGCATACGAACAGAAATATTACAATGAAATGTTTGATATGCGAAGCTTCAAACTCAACAGACCAAATATCGGCAATTGAATAGCTTTTCATAAATGCAAACATAAATTTTATACGCTTTCTAATATGCATCTATTAGTGTTGCTTGAAATATATGTTGTTGTCAAAATTTAGTCGTTTAGTTGCAGAACCTATCAACAAATTTTGAAAGTGCAATGAAATTATATATAAAGAATTCTTGTAAACTCTGATTGAGATAAAATACACATGCTGATATAAGGAAACTAATACCTGACAAACAATATATTTAAATAAAATGTATAAACATTATCAAAATGTGTACTAACATCAATATATACAAATTTACATTCACACAGATTTTCTTTTTTTCTCTATAAATTAACTATAACAAAAGCCAGGAAATAAGCTTTAAGAATTTTCAAGATATAAATCATAAAAATATGATTAATATTCTAAAGCTCTTTTCCGGAATACGAGCAAAAATCATCAAATCATGTACTCACGCATTAATAATTTTAAGTTTTCAATGATCTCTTACAAATAAAGTAATTATAAAAATTTAAATTATTGAAATTTTGTTTATAACAAAGTACGCATACAAAGAGTTTAATAAAGTAAGATCCAGACTCAATCGGAGAGATATTTTTAATGTATAGTTTATAATTTAATATCGACAAGATTAAATGATACGTTTATCGGTTTAATTCCGATACTGTTATAACCTAAGGTAGAGTAAATCTGTCAATTTAAAATAAAAAATATTTTTCTCTTACGAGCAGATTTGATGATAATCTATTCTATCCATTCAATGGCTTAATTGCAGTCATAGTGCTTCTTCTACTTCTAATTATATTTACATCACATCAAAGCAAGCTTCTAGATATAAAAATAAGATTACTGATGCTACACGACATCTGCAAAATAATTTAAATTTCCTCTAATCTTACACTATAAACCGCGAACAGATTTCACACGTAGGTGATGACAAATCGGCAACTATTGGGTATTGGTTCGTTAATATGTTGTTTTTACTCCTCGTACCATTCATATGATGATGAGAGACTGTCTCGTCGAGATTTTTTGAAAAATAAAGAAAATTCAAATAATACTAATTTTTTACTTATAATTGGATACTACTACAGGGTAAATGTTAATAATCATTTCTGCTCCAAGTTCCCGAAGAAAACCTAAATTTGGAATTATGAAATGGACATTATTCCGTTTCAGCCATACCTAATCATTTAAATTAATGATTATGATTTATTTGTTTACGGTATAATTACAAAACAGTTATTTTTGTCATGATTTGTTTTTTAATATAACTTATAAAATTAAACAAAAAATATAGGAAAATAAATCATAATCAATAGCACTCTCACGCCACTTTCAAGAATCGCATCCAGCGTACTAAAATTGAGTTAGTACATACATACCACGTTCTGTAAAAGATATAATGCTTCAATTTTTTTAAAGCATCATATCTTGTACAGTTTTACAATGAACACATACACCCAATAAGCTTCTTATATACAAATTTTCAGTCGCCAAATGAAATCCTACATCCACTCCTTTCCCGAAAACTTACACGATGAGTCTTTCACAATCAGCGCAGATATTCTGCCCGGCCGGCAGACCGCCGGTGTTGTTTGTCGCGGGGCGATCGACTGGAGCCGACACGTGACGCAATCCAGAAACTGGTGCGGCCGGGGACGCCATAGGCTGGTGAGAATGATCCGAAGAGGGAGCTGTGACATGCACTGGACTAATCGGGGCTACTACGTATTTAGTATTTATAATATTAGCAAATGCAATACATATTTAAGGGGCACAACTAGTGTGAAATTTCGAAAAAATCGATTTTTTTTTCATATTTCGGTAGATTACACCTTTAAAAATAATATATAAAAATTTCAAATCGATATCTCAAATAGTTTTTGAGTTACAGCCATTTAAAATGTATATATATAGTATATAGTACAACGATAATTTTATCTTTAAACGCGTTTTTCTCGAAACAGCATTTTCCGAATTTGCTGCAGTGATTACTCAAAAACGAATGATCCGATCACTATCAATTTTTTTTACATGTTCTTTATATAGTTCTCCGTAAAATGAACTATCGATTTTTCGATTGGATCAAAAATCGAATTTTTGATTGAATTTTCAGTCGAAAAACCACCAAAATTTTTAGGTAAAATTCGACTCTTTTTTTCAAAACGCCGCCACTTTGTCAATTTTTGATTTATTTTTTTCATCGTAGTTCGTTTTACAGACAATATTATCTAGTTTAACGAGATTTTTTTTTTTTGATTTCATCCACGTAGAAGGCCGGAATCACTGCAGCAGTTAAAGGCCTTTCTTTGTCGCGCCGTTGGAGATCGACGATAAATTAAAAAATATCTAATTTTTTTCTTCAAAAATTTTACTATGTATTCTTAAAACATGTATAAATATATTCCTAAAATTTTGAAATATTTGATAAAGTAGTTTTTTTAATATAAATTCCCAAAAATCACCTTTTTTAGGCGGTTACACTAGTTGTGCCCCTTAAATTACTATTTTTCTTCATTTGATCGTAACATCCCAGGCTAGTTATAGAGCAGAAAATAATAAAAAAATGATCGCGGACATCTGAATATGCTTGAATTTACAAAAAAATTTAAGCATTATATGAAAAAAAAATCAACTTATATGCGGTATTTTCAATGGTTTCATATTGTAGTGATTAAATTCTTCTACTATTCTCTGATCTGAAATCTTGCCATGGAAATAAATTTAGCATTATTATGTTGCAGACCACTTGACACCTGCTATTTTGCATGGAAAAGAATCAGAAATTAATATAGATTTTGCTTATTTTTCGCAATTTAGACCAAATTGAATCCATTTTTTCAAAATTGGTAAATAGTTACTCAACACTCTAAATAACATTTAACTACATGCCATTTTTTTATTCAGGCACTTGTAATGCTAATAAATATTTTTTTTTCCTGAATTATATATAATAATAAATATCTATAATAAATTCTGAAACCAGCTTTCTCTATGTCGTAATATAATCAGAAAAAAATCATCTTCTTATATACTCAAATATAATAAAATAATATATTCTTAAATTATAACCAATTTTGTACAAACTAACCTTTTTCGGGTTCGTTATCAGCTTCCTGTAGCATTTTGAACACCTCACTATTTGCTGCATTATAGATTTTTTCGTTTTTCTTAAAGTTCACTCTACACATACAATATTGCAATTAATATGAAGTAAAAATAAATATGAAAATAAATATTATTAAAATTACCCTACTACACCGGTTTCGAGCACTTCAGAGTGTTTGTCTAATGTTTCCTTGATAGTTTGCTCACTATAGATATTCAATGGAGTGTTGTATTGTTTATTTACTAAGTTCTTGGGGCCGGTTCCATTTAACTGCAAATAATAATAAATAAGCAAGTTAGTTAGAGCTTTTCTTTTAGTATATCCCATTCATGTTTCAATAGAATTCAACATCTCATTCAATCTCTACAAGCTTGTATATGAGCACGTGTTCAGAATACAATTTTCCTTTTATGAAAAATTTAGATTTACATTAAGTAACAAACTACTTATGAGTTATATAGTTTATGAAACCTTACTTGCACACTTGCAAATGGTTTAGCCTTATTGTTGTGTCCGGATCCGATGTGCATTGGGTCCTGGGGTTTGGCGGCCAAAGAAGTTTTGGTCACTGGTGACACATAAGAACCTAATGGTGATGGCTTTGGAGCAACTCCAGTTGGTACTACTTGTGGTTGCCATGTTGAGCCTCCTCTGTAAAAATATAGAGTTGGTGAAAAGAAGAAAACTGGTACGGATTCATTTTGATGACGACAATTTGTAATTAAAAAAAAAGTTGTGGCAGTTATAATGTGCATATCCTTAAACTTGAAATATTTTTTCATAAATGTGGTTACCCTATTACTTGAATATTTATATATTCTAACTGCAAATAAAATCAAATTTTCTTACTTTAAAATTTATCTACAAAATTACATTATTCAAGCAATGTAAATAACTATTAATAGTTATGAAAAACAAACGGTTGATATTTGTTTATAAAGTAAATATTTATAAAATTCTGAGAGCCTATTTTGATAAGATATAATAATAATTGAGATAACTTACGGAATATATAAACAAAACACATTTAGATAAAATCAAATGTTTTTCTAATAGGTTACAAACGCTCAAAATTAATACCATAACCAATTTTTCATATTTTAAACGGAACATATATAAAAATGTCAGTAATTCATTAAACTATTGCTATTACGAACATTTATTAACGCATAAAATATTTATTATAAAAACTAAACTAGTTGCAAGTAATTTTAAGAATAAATGCATTTAAATAAATGTGCACAACCCTTGTTTTTCAAATCAGGCATATTTTTTAGAATTAGAATATTACCGATTTAAATAAAATAATTGAATAAGATATTGTAACGTTTTGAAATTTAAGTCCATGTCAAGAATGAAGACAACAAACCCTGCTATGTATAAATTATTCAGAATAAACAAATTTCTAAAGCAAATTCACATATAATAACTAGGAAATATTAATATCATTTTGAATGTAGTTTTAGTTTCTGTGCTCTTTAATATATATAGAATATAAATTTGTATGAGGAATAATTTTTACTAATTGTAAGATTATTATATTTTTCCAGATTTTTCAAGTTAACATAAATAGTTTATGAGCCAATATTAAACTCATTAATTAAAACATTTCTAATCTCTATCCACCCGAAAAATTTCTGAATAGCTCTTGGGCGTTTTTCTTTAAAAAGCACACCTAAATTTACCGAAACAGTTTCGGACTATTTGCCAATCCGAACTGTTAAGTGCAGGACTAACGAACTTCTACTGCACTTTGTTTTAAAATAGAAGTATATAAAAGATATTGCAAATATATGCGCGCTATTTATGATCTTTACTGCATTTAATTTTTTTAATAGAAATCGCTAACCGTTCACTAATTGATAGCAATATGCTTCCAAGTGAAAATAGACCCTGCCGGCATTGCGGCATCAATAAAAAATTCATAAGTATTACAGAAATTGTAATAATAAATACATCACATAGAGATAGAACAACCGTTTAGATTGCCATCTAATAAAAATGTACGGCGTTTAAGAAGTCAGTACAATGCACATAGGTGTACTGCCCTAGAGCAGGTCCGTGAGCTGAGTTAAAACTCCAACTCGATTCAGGGAAGAATAGTGTGAGACATTTTCCATTGCCATTTCACACCGCAGTGGCCGAGATGGGCTTATTTTCAATTGGTAACATATTTTGATCTATATTTTCAATTGAAAATGGACATCGCGCTGCCCGATATCAGATTGCCAGAGCGGAGAATCGAACGCGCGACCCGGTCCATACAAAGTCAACGCGTTAACGACCTTCGCCACGACAAACAATGCACATAGGACTTGTTAAGTTCTGATTGCTGTTGCTGGTAAAATATATTATAAAAAAGTGCCACAAATGCTCTACCCACTGAAACTCACTGACCTTTGTACTGTCACCTCAAAGGATTGTCCGGCGCGCACGATGGCGTCTTGCGCGTCCTTGTGTCTCAGATTATAGACGTCTGTGTTATTCACCTTGATGACAGCGTCGCCTGCTTGCAGACCAGCTCGCTCGGCCGGGCTTCCGCTGTTCACCTGCAAAAAAGACAAATAAAAAATACTATATGCAATATAATTGTAATGATGAAGTATTCAGAGACCATAAGGAAGAGATTCCAGAAAGAACGCTTAACGATCGTTTTGTTTTATACAAACATGTGCAAAATGATTTCAAGGAGAGCTTTTGTATTTTGTGCCATGATTCATGAAAGCATTCGCGTTTGCAGATGCGTCAATGGATAATTGAATAGTCTAAACTGATATTTCTAAAAGTAAAATAAAGATGGATTTGAGAAATATGCTAATAACTTGATATTTGTTCCATACTTTCATATAAGATAACGATAACAAGAAATATTTTAAGCTGGTTGCAATGTTTTGAATATTGAAGTTAAGTTTTAACTTATTCCTTTATAATTAAATTATTCTAAATATTGACACATATTCAATATATTTATTATATTTTATTGACAGAGAGACAATTAGTCCAGTCATTTGAGATACCCAGCAGTAAGTCTGTAAATACTTGTATATTGACACCCTAAAGTTGTCTCTTTGAATATTTGTTTTTCTCCAAAACTCATGGTCTATTTGATTCCCACCTATACTACCATATGTAGGTTTTGAGACAACTTAAGGGTGTCAATATACAAGTATTTACAGACTTACAGCTGGGTATCTCGAATTCCGAGGTGAACTTACTATAATGATTGGACTAAATAAAATATTATTGTGATATAGTCGGAAGAATGAGATGAAGAGTATAATTAGATTGATTCATTCAGGTTGCCACACTTAACTTAATAAAAATTAGATTTATCAAACGATCAATACTTACTAAGCAATGAAATTTTATTTTATATCTTTGTTATTTATGAATCAGTTACATCTGCTATTGTATCTCATGTTTGTCAGCATTGCATCCAAATGTAACATCTGCATTTATAGGGGATATTAAGACGAAAGCTAACTGAAGTGCGAATATATTAACAGCATCGTAAAATACTGGGCGAAGATTAACGTCTCGACTAAATGCGAAAAAAGAAATAACTGAACAAAAACTGCAATACAATACATGGAGTCTACCATATTATAGAGACAGTCAACGGCACCCAGACTTACATGTGTGATGACTAGGAGTAATAATTTGCACTCTATGATCTATAACTCTTGCACACATGTCTATTAATTTATCGAAAAATATAACATCCAATAAAATCAAGACAAATTTTAGAATTATAAATCTAAATTTAATTTTAGATTTAAAATATACACATATTTTTCAGTGATTCCAATTTTATGTTTACTATATCTTTACAGTTTTAAAAACATAGTTTTCATAAAAAAATAATTTTTAGACAATTTAATTTTTTAGACACAATTTAAAGAAATATATCGCAAATTACTTTAAAGAAGGCAAATTTTTGATAATACTCATTTATATTATTTCTAAAATAGTTATTGATATTTAGTATACCAAATACGAGGGTTAAAATACGTGTATCGGGTACTAGACACGTCAAATTAGTGTAAAAAATAGTATACAACTTATTGTACTGGTTCAAAGCATTTTTTTTAATTATAAACAATTGAAACTGTTTGAAATTGAAAATGGTAAAATCTAACATCTCTAGCTAGCCTATTCATTGGGGCACAGCAGACACAATACAAAATGATTCAAATAGCAAACTCAAATACTTGCATATATAAACAACTGTATGTATTATAATTTATATTTAGTTCACAAAACGTGTGTAAACAAGCATATTTGCTCTCTTTGTCAACCTGCCCGCGAATTAACTCTCTGACTCAAAATAATCTAGTTTTTTCTCTAAAATATCATAGACTTTATCGTATTCTTAAATGATTTCAATTGAGCATTTCCTAATATACGCTATAAAATTTATGGTCATTTATTACTGATATATCGTATATGTTTTTAGCGACTGACTTGCTGATCCAGAGAATAATAAATATGTACTTTATAAGATTGGAAAAGTGGACGCACTTTGGGTGAAATATCATAACGGGAAGCCCGAGAAGAGTATGAAAACATTTTAAACTCATTTGAATAAGTCAAGTACAGCGGAGTAATCAGAGTAAGTGGTTGGTGGTCTAATCAGAAAAGCATATATATATATATATATATATATATATATATATATATATATATAATCTTCAGATCAGACCACCAACCATTTACACTGGCTTCTCCGCATATAATCAGTGTTTATATTTTTATGACTATAAAACCTCTGCATAAAGTACTAGACTTGATGCAACCTCATTATAAAAATCTATGAAGGTATCTCAAAAATTAAATTTAATCTTAAATATAAACTATTAATATTTCAAATCTACTCATTGAAAATATATTTATGGTGGTAATAAAAATACATTTATACAAAACCATATTATATATATATATATATATATATATATATATATATATATATATATATATATAAATATATAATGTATGTCTATAGTATACATATGTGTGTGCTCTTAACCGCATAATAAACGATGTATTCACCAGACAATGTTGTTAGAGTCATATTGTTTAACTCACAATTCAATCGAGTGAGGGTCATCTTTTATTTGGTTGGTTAAGACGAACAAATGGGAATTTTGACAGGTTAATATAACCATAATTGTTAAAAAAAGATTATTACTTATTCAGAATGATTATTACTTGTACTGACTCAAGCGACGTAGACACGTTTCATTATTGATCATGAAATATTTAAATAATTTATCTTATACTTGGCATGATGTGTATGATGTTCCGCCAACCATCGACTAGTTAATTTAACTTAATGACAAATTATGTTTATGAACAATTATCAAATTCAAAATATATTTTGACAAGACAATGGTAGTATTGTATTGTATATTTTTGTGCGCATTTTGCTACTTTTCTCTACTAGTGTTTTATCATTTAGTATTTTGGCCAGGAGGGTCACAGTGCACATTTATTCAAAATTATGAAAATTCAGATAATGAAAGCGATTGAAGGTACTCATTTCGAGAGCCTTGAAGAGATTCATTCAGGAAATATAATATTTAAACCGACACATTGGCAACAAACTGTTGAGAAGCAGATGAATAAATCAGTTCTCATTTTTTAGGAATAAATAAATATTTTTTTTAAAAAATGAAAATTTTGAACTATATTACGAAAAAGCGGTGTTATACTTCTATAAATCAAGCTGTAAACTCTACTAATGATACATAAGACATCAAGATTTACAACAAGCCATCCGAATGAAAATGCAGAAAAAAAATACATTTAAAATCTCTTATGGAAAATTATTTACTAAATAATCCAAATTATTCTATAATTCGATTCGCAAATTGTAGCATACAAAATTAAATTAATTTTATTCTATTAAATTTCATAACTTATTCAATCAAATGTCACCATTAATCAATCGTCTTTGTGGAATAATAATATTTAGTAAATCATTTCAACAATATTCGCTCATTCAAAGTCGAGAGCAAAGCATGTGTCGAAACTAATCCTGAATATTTGTGTTTTATAGATGATCTTATAAACATAAACATCGCAAATATCAATGAAATTCCTAAGAAATTAGGTGCACAGATATATATATATATATATTTATATGTGTACATCGGTTGTTTCTATATCAATCTGTAAGGCGGAGGTCACATGCTTAACTATTTCTGAACGCGGTGATATTGGCAGCACCGGGAATCGCTAAAATTAGTACATTGCATCGTTTATCAGAAACATAATATCTCAGGGAGAGTGAACTTCAGGCATGAAAACACCTATTAAACTTCGTGACAAAATGCCAAATTTGCAATACTCATATATACAACGTTTGAGACCTGTTGATTTCGCAATATTGAAAATAAGCTATTGTTTTCTTTAGTCATTGCTCGCAATAAAATAAGATTTAAATTATTTAGATTAATGCGGTTATGATTCTATCAATTGAAGGATTGTAGTGCCATTCGTTTCATGGAACAATAAAACATCTAATAAATATATTCAACGCCAACCAATAAATAAATAACTTTTAATAAATCAACTTTTGATAGCATTTAATATTATTTTGTACTGTTATTTCGGGCCTATTCTGTACTGCATCTTAGAAGTTAAACATTGCTCGAGTATATCTATTTTATAATCGACTTGAGTTCGAGTATATCTATTTTATAATCGACTTGAGTTCGAGTATATCTATTCTGTAATCGACTTGAATTCGAGTATATCTATTTTGTAATCGACTTTGGTGTTGATTAGCTTGATCGAGGTTCTTGCCTTGGCACAACCAATGAAAGTAAATTTTCTCTAGTTAACACGCAGATCATGTTTTTGAATAAATAATTTACAATAAATATTCTAAATATTTGATATTCAACAATTTTGTTTAGATGACTCAAAGTCACACAATATTATCTTATTATCTTTTTATTCCATATTTACCTTAGATCATTTAGCTGATGTGAATAAATATGCTGACATGGTCAAATTTGAAATTCTCTTTTAATAAGTTACGTTTTATTCTAGCACATGCAAACGATTAATGTCTTAAAATTTTACCAGAAAGGAACATATTTCAAATCAAATTTAATTAAACAAACTTTTCTTAATTACAAAAGATCAATTTAAAACTAACATTGAATAATGTTCATTTAACAACATATGATATCTTGCATTTTAGCGACCCCATAAAATAAAAAATAGTTACTTTGTAAGCTAAGAGAAGAAATTCAGTACAAATTCGAGCATTAATATCATAAAAAAACAAGTTTATCATTTCAACATAAGTTCTTTTAAAAATAAATATTTAAATGATTTGAGAATCTCTACTTATAATAACTGATTTAATTTAATTTTTGGACAATAATTTTACAATAACTTTAAATAACAATACTATAATAAATAACATCAGTTTTATTTTCAGATATTTAAATCATTATAATTTTGAACTTCAATCATAAATGTAAATTTCGATTTATGTTCACTTATTATTCATGCAAAATCGAGAAAGAATTGAAAATATTCAGAAAAAACTTTGATAAGGTTAATATTTAAAGATGTATGTGTAACGGACCCAGATGGTAAAAAATCATTATTATAAATATTATAATGTTTGTGTCTATTATGTATAAAAGAGTTAAAAACAAAACAAATCTGTTCGTATGTTATTTTACATACTATCTT